CGAGTACTCGTGACACACATACTCATAGCAGCTAGATTAGTTATAGCTAGGTTGTGGAAACAACAGGCAATCCCGACCATGTCAATGATGATCGACACACTTAACACACATATGCATTTTGAATTTCTGTTTGGCAGAGCTCACCTCAGGGAACATAAATTCAATACAGATTGGGGCTGTTGGTTGACTGACAAACGTTGTAGCTCTGGAATGGTGTGAAGGAATCTCCTACCTCAAGCGGGTCATGCTAGCACAGTTCTCCTGAGGCAAATGTGTCTTATACAGCATCCCCCTCTTCCCATATTTATATGATCTCTGCACCACTTAAGACTTTTTCAGATCCAATAATTTGCAGCTGTAGTAAGTTAATAGTATAAATAATACTTTCACATTGTATTGCCAAGATTGGTTATTACTTATGTTATCCCTTGTTCTCCCCTTTTCCCTTAGAGTGTTACACCTTCTCCCCCCCCCCTTTTTTTTTCCCCTCCCCACCCCAAAGCTTTGTCGCTTTCTGACCCATGTACCAGCAAAGATTTGTACACCACGTGCATAATAATCGCTACTTTGCTTTTATGATAGGTGCCTTATTTTTTTGAATTAATTGTACTAATTTGTTGTGACCCTAGCATTTTAAGGGCCCACTGGCTTTTCAGGATTGGCTTATGATACACCTATGCAAATATTGGGCCTTTGGCCATGTATTCTTTGGTTATTTTGTCCTCTGCCACATTATATTGTATGGGTCTTGCAACTGTGATTTTCATCACCTGTATTGTGAAAAATGTTGAATAAAAACTATGGTTAAAAAAAAAAAAAAAGAAGCTGATGATATGCTTCATCAATGTCTTCTCCTGGCTTTAAAGAGTATTGATGAGCCGAACACCCCCCTGTCCGGTTCGAATTCAAACTCGAACCTCAATGCAGGTCTGTGGGGGTCCCCATTTTGAAGCCTTATATGCAATTTATTTGCCAGAAAATGTGTATGGGATCCAGGTACTGCCATGGGGACAGGAACAGGTTCAGACCCCCAACAATGATATATTTTCTGAAAGCAGAGGACCTGTAGAATAAAAAAATGCTAGGTGCAATTTTTTACGTCGCACGGTTTTTGCACAAATGTTTGTCAAACCCGTATTTTTAGGAAAAAATAAACTAAATTAAAATTTAGTGCACAGAAACATAATATAATACCCAATTTTTTTTTAAAATATGAAAGACAGGATCACGTCGGGTAAATAGATACCAAACATGTCAAGCCTTAAAATTGCGTTCGCCCGTGAAGCCGCAAAAAAATTAAATACCCAAAATTTCCCATAGGGAACATTTTAAACGCTTTTACCGCTCATCAGTTTAGTGCTAACAGTCATTGACGGTGCTAGAATTATTTATCTCGTTCAGACGTTCGCGGCGATGTGTAGCTTAATTGTCGTTTTTGCACGTAGGCGCACCGTCGTGTGTATGTGCGTGCACATGGGTCATAAAAAATTTTTTTTGCCATTTTATAAGTTTTCTTTTATGTTACTTTAACCTCTTGCCGTCCGCCCGTAGTAGAAAAACGGACGGACGGCACTGCTGCATTGGCGGGTTGCCGTCACCAGACGGCATTTTTTTTCTGCTCGCGCACGCCCCCTAGTGGGCACGCACGTATGGGAAGGGGGTTTAACACCGCGGATTGTCAACTGGTTAATTTTTAACACTATTTTTTCCCCCACTAACCCTATTGCTATTAGATAGGGTGTGACAGGTCCTCTTTATGGAGACATCAGGGGTCTTGCAGACCCCTGTCACCTAGGGACCCCAAATAAGCCAAGATCCGATTCCCCAGCTTCATCTCCTGGCTCTAAGAGCCGGAGACACGAAGTGATGTAATACACATCACTTCCGGGTCCAGTGATCGGAGGAGAGATCAGCGGTTGGAAGCTGAATTTCTCTCCGATCACTTCGGGCAGACCCGTATCTCTCTCCGGTCACTTCGGGCAGACCCGCCGAGCCGCTCCCGGGCACCGCACAGGGACAGCGGTGCCCGGGGAAGACACCAGCAGCCACGGCAAGGGGGGTGCCGCCGCCTGTACAGACGCCGGATCGCTTGTAAATTAACAGCAATCGCCTGCGGTTAAGAGCGGTACCAAGAACACGGCTGCTGCTGCTGGAACCTAGGGCCAGAAAGGGGAACGAGGGAGCAAACATGACAGCTAGCTCCGCCCAACTGTTTACAGTTGTAACAGGTGAGCCATGAATGGACAGAGTCATCATGACTTTGCCTAATCATGGCTCTCACAGTTCTCTGTGCCCTGATTGGGCAAAGTCTTGCACCTGACCACAGCCTTTAGCCAATTACAGCCTCACAAGGCGCATTGCTTTGTTGGGCGTTCAGCGGGCAAACAGCCCGCCGAACGCCCTGATAGTTCATGTGTTCGGCGAACACACAAACTAGCAATGTGTTAGGAGTTGAACTCACGTTTGGCTCGGACATCGAGCCCAACCCTATCCAAGAGCCGAAGAATATGCACAGTGACACCGGAAGTGATGTAATGCATTTCACTTCCGGGTCTAGTGATTGGAGGAGAGATCAGCGGCTAGAAGCCTGCTGATCTCCTTCAAATTTGTCAGAGGAGACCCGCTGTGCCAGGCCCACGGAGCAGCAGCTGTGTTCTTATTACTTCAGGACATGTTTTTTTTTGTCCATGTTTTTTGTTTTCTTTACAAGTTTTCCTCTATTTATATATTTTTTGTTTTAGTCCTAAGTGAAGCGTTAGGCACACATATGTGGTAAATATAATATGTGTGTGTGCACTAAAAGTATATTATTGCTGTGGAAGAATCACAGCAAAAAATGTAAACTAACAGAAATAAAAAAAAAACATGCTCAGCCATAAAGGGGTTAAACACTGCATGGAGTGTACCAGGTTCCTTCCTCTTGCAATAGAAGATTTTCCCTCCTTTCCTGTCAGAGTGAGGGAGCATCAGAAGTGAGGAAACATTTCCCCAACTGGTACAAACAATAAAAACCTGACAGTCTTACCATTCTGCCTATAGCCAAAACTGCATATGAAAAGAGTTTGAGCTGAACCTGCGTTTTGTCCACACAGCACACCCTTCAACTTAATTCCGCTCTCTCTAGCAGCAAATGCTTACCATTTTCCTTTCACTTCCCAGCTGTGCATACAGAGACTGGGAGCAGGAAAGCCCTGTACAAGATCTGATTTGCTCTAGTCAGAGCGTATTTAGGGCTGAGGATTCTCTTGCCGCCATCAAGCATGTCACACGAAAAGGGAAATGAGTCACATGCTTCACTATACCTGAAAACACTGGGTATTTTTTTTTCTTCTCCATATCACTTCATCAATACAGATAGGTCATCTCCCTACCGAAAGCCTGAGACGGGACAAAGAAGGAGCAGCATCAGACTGATAAGTTCAACCCTTTGCTCACTCCTCCGGTCAGCACATACACATGTAGCACACCTGATTGGCTCCTAGTACTGCCTCTACTTCTCCTAGTCTGAGAGGTTTACAAGACCCTGATCCAAGGTAAATATTAAAAAAAAAAAAAAAAAACTATAAATAATCTTATAACAAGCACCCATTTTGAATAGAATTACATAACACTTTTATTTCTTTTCACACTGGTATCTGAACGTGAAAAAAAGATGTAATTGTGTAAGAGCTTTCAGTCTCATGAAAAAGGTAGAAACAGTTTTTTGTTGTTTTCTTTAAGACATGGAAAACATTTTACTTAACAAATACTTTAACTTCAGTACAAAAGTTTTATAAATACAAAAAAAAAAAATTCACAAGTTTCTTTGAATACTAAATAAATATCTAGAATAGTCAAAATATTCTCAGCGCTTGAATTCCTCCCACAAAAATATACCCCAATGAATTTACTCAAGTAGTGTTGTTCAGGATCACTTTAATGGTGGATACACTCACAAGCAGTACTTTTTTTTGCTAGTACCGCTTTCTCTCTGGTCCTCCAGTTGCTTGAGTTCCCAGCCCTACCCCTTACTGTAACGCCAAGCAAAAGTCTCATTCCTGCTGCATTCTCTGTAATAAAAAAATAAACGAACAACATGAGAATACAGCCACAAGACTGAATGAAACTCCCTCGTAACTGAGTAGGGAACGGGACTGTAGAGAAATCAGTGCCAAAGAGATGAGAATCTGGTGGGTGATTCAAACTGCTTGCATTTACCCAAAACTGGAATGCCAGTTTTAGCCTAAACATTTTTCTCCCAGCTATAAACAAGCAAAAATAACTAAACCAAAAACAAACAAAAACAGCTTAACAGTAGTTAAAGAGTTGTAAATCTGATATACATATACAGTATATATACTTATATAAAATACACATACGTGGTTGGACCCTATTTAGCAGTTATTTGCTGCAATCACCCTGAGTGCTGTGTGGTGTAATAAATCAGTGCTTGGTCATTACGAAGACAGCTGGACTTATTGCTTGACGTGGCTGAGCAATGGTTGGTGATTCAGTTCAGCAGGAATTTTTTTTTTTTTTTTAAACTGGAACTCAATAAAGCAAACCATGACCCCACAAAGTATCGAAAAATGGAAGCTGATAGGACATCAGATGCGCGACTTTTTGGTGGGTCCTGGTGGAATAATCGGCTTGCTACAAGAGACCTCCAGGCCCAGTTTCTGAGCCTCATTGACAAAGAAGGATTGCAAACGGAGCCCTGCTTTGGCCTCATTGCTGTTGAATTGGTTATATTCGAAACAGTTTGAGAACATCAACTGAACATCTTCTATAAATTCAGCTGTAAGGATTCGTCAGATGCTTAAAAGGGGGGATTGGGGGGGGGAGAATTACAATATTTTTTGCTACGTGTCAATCACCATAAAAGCAGAAACTAACTGTATTTACAAGCGTTTTTGCAGCTAAATTCTCTAGAATAAGAGTAGTTAGATAAGCCTTGGTAATTGTAGTGACTGGATAAACCACACCAGTTTTGAGATGCCAGCAAGTGGGAAACATTCATTTAAGCAGCTAATTCGAACAAAGAAATCCCATGTACAAAAAGACATGCATTTTATATCAGAAAAAATATAGGGGGAAACCATAATAGTTTTTGGTATAGGAGTTCTATTTTTAACTTTAACATGATTATAAAAAAAATTATATTTTACATTGTTTCCCTATTTGTAGAAAATGCTTCTTTTATGAACATTGAAAAAAGGATGCTTTGGTGGCAGTTTTTAGCAGGCTGGGCTTTCCAGTAAATCCTAGCACTTCACATTCAGAAAAACTAATTTTCATATCTTTTATGCTTCCTAAATATACTTAAATACTACGCATTGCTTTTAAAAAAGAACACATTCAAGTCATATTTCACTTAAACACATTACTTACTTGCTGAATTGTATTCACATTTGTTCACTTTCTCGCGGATTATATTTAAGGCAATGGGCTTCCTGATAATGTCGAAATAATCTGGAACCTACAAAAAAAATATTCTGCTTGAATCAAACAAGTATTTATTTTCTTTAATATAAAACAGGACAATATAGGAGGAGGGGAGTACAGAGGAGCAGGATCCCGAGGTGTGTAGCTGGGTTACTCTTAGAAGGCGGGGTAGAGGGAAGAGTGCGAGAGAGGCCAGCCCTGAATACACCCTAATAATTATGCCAGGTTGCAGGATTTTGGGGATATTAGTTCAGGGGTGGCATTGCTGGAGCAAGATGCTTACCCTATCTGCAAGGTGAGCGATTGCTCCAGTAAGAATGGAGGCAGGACAAACTCCTCCGAGGATACGCTAAAATTAGGACGGTCATCACATACGAAACTTGGAGGGAAACCCAATTCAAAATTCTACATAGAGCCTATGTCCCGTTCTTCAAACCCTCCGGGGACTCAGTGAATGCTTCCTCGGAGCGACCACTGTCTTCCACATGCCCCAAATGCCCCGAACTGGGTTGACTTCTCAGTTGGTTACCGGCTCTACAGCACAGATGGGCTGCATCTTATATGGGGAAGGTGCAGCACTTTTGGGGCAGAAAATTGCTAAAAGACTGGAGGAACTTTTAAACTAGATAATGGGGGGAGGGAATAATAAAAATGGGGAAAATAAACATAGAATGTGTTACTACAAGGGCAGTAATCCAAGTGGGGGCAGAGGGCTCACTCCAGTCAAACACATTAGTAACGTATCTACAGTACCAAGGTCAAATAAAAGAATACGTTGGGATTCAGGAACGAGCAATAATATAAACCAAACCACTAGCACTAAACTAAAATGTATGTTTACAAATGCTAGAAGTCTAGCAAAACAAATTAGAGGAGTTTGAACTTATGCTACTCAAAAAGGACTTCAATACAGTAGGAATAACAAAAACGTGGCTAGGCAGCTCACCTCGTCAGATGCTTAAAAGGGGGGATTGGGGGGGGGAGAATTACAATATTTTTTGCTACGTGTCAATCACCATAAAAGCAGAAACTAACTGTATTTACAAGCGTTTTTGCAGCTAAATTCTCTAGAATAAGAGTAGTTAGATAAGCCTTGGTAATTGTAGTGACTGGATAAACCACACCAGTTTTGAGATGCCAGCAAGTGGGAAACATTCATTTAAGCAGCTAATTCGAACAAAGAAATCCCATGTACAAAAAGACATGCATTTTATATCAGAAAAAATATAGGGGGAAACCATAATAGTTTTTGGTATAGGAGTTCTATTTTTAACTTTAACATGATTATAAAAAAAATTATATTTTACATTGTTTCCCTATTTGTAGAAAATGCTTCTTTTATGAACATTGAAAAAAGGATGCTTTGGTGGCAGTTTTTAGCAGGCTGGGCTTTCCAGTAAATCCTAGCACTTCACATTCAGAAAAACTAATTTTCATATCTTTTATGCTTCCTAAATATACTTAAATACTACGCATTGCTTTTAAAAAAGAACACATTCAAGTCATATTTCACTTAAACACATTACTTACTTGCTGAATTGTATTCACATTTGTTCACTTTCTCGCGGATTATATTTAAGGCAATGGGCTTCCTGATAATGTCGAAATAATCTGGAACCTACAAAAAAAATATTCTGCTTGAATCAAACAAGTATTTATTTTCTTTAATATAAAACAGGACAATATCAGATGCAGAATAAAAAGCTATCCAAACACACTGTGGGGGGGGGGGGGGGGAAGAACACAAGGAGGAGGAATAGGAGGAGGGGAGTACAGAGGAGCAGGATCCCGAGGTGTGTAGCTGGGTTACTCTTAGAAGGCGGGGTAGAGGGAAGAGTGCGAGAGAGGCCAGCCCTGAATACACCCTAATAATTATGCCAGGTTGCAGGATTTTGGGGATATTAGTTCAGGGGTGGCATTGCTGGAGCAAGATGCTTACCCTATCTGCAAGGTGAGCGATTGCTCCAGTAAGAATGGAGGCAGGACAAACTCCTCCGAGGATACGCTAAAATTAGGACGGTCATCACATACGAAACTTGGAGGGAAACCCAATTCAAAATTCTACATAGAGCCTATGTCCCGTTCTTCAAACCCTCCGGGGACTCAGTGAATGCTTCCTCGGAGCGACCACTGTCTTCCACATGCCCCAAATGCCCCGAACTGGGTTGACTTCTCAGTTGGTTACCGGCTCTACAGCACAGATGGGCTGCATCTTATATGGGGAAGGTGCAGCACTTTTGGGGCAGAAAATTGCTAAAAGACTGGAGGAACTTTTAAACTAGATAATGGGGGGAGGGAATAATAAAAATGGGGAAAATAAACATAGAATGTGTTACTACAAGGGCAGTAATCCAAGTGGGGGCAGAGGGCTCACTCCAGTCAAACACATTAGTAACGTATCTACAGTACCAAGGTCAAATAAAAGAATACGTTGGGATTCAGGAACGAGCAATAATATAAACCAAACCACTAGCACTAAACTAAAATGTATGTTTACAAATGCTAGAAGTCTAGCAAAACAAATTAGAGGAGTTTGAACTTATGCTACTCAAAAAGGACTTCAATACAGTAGGAATAACAAAAACGTGGCTAGGCAGCTCACCTGACTGGGCATCTAATGTACAAGGATACAACCTGTTCAGACGGGACAGGTTTGGTAGAAGGGGGGGGGTATGCATTTACAGTATGTGAAAAGCAATCTTACTGCGCACATAAGAGATAACCTCACGACGGAGAGTTGCAATGGTGTTGAGTATTTGTGGCTAGAACTGGATAAGACTGATTGAAGTTGTAAACTTATTATAGGTGTATGGTATAAACCCCCGAACATATGGGAGGAGTAGGGGGCTTGCTTACAACCCCAAATAGAAATAGCTTGGAAGCAGGGAAATGTTGTGATAATGGGTGACTTCAATTATCCGGACATTGATGGGCCACCTATAACCGCTCATTCTTTAAAAGCTGGCCGTTTTCTAAACCTGTTGCGGGACAATTTCATGGATCAGATGGTTGAGGTCGCGACCAGGAAGAATGCAATTCTGGATATATTAATCACTAACAATGCTGACCTAGTTGAGAACATAGAAATTTGGGGAACAGTGATCACAGGATGATTAATTTTAATATTGGGTACAGAAAAGAGAAGCGGGTTGGTCTGACAAGAACGCTAAATTTCAAAAAGGCAAACTTTGTGAAGCTGCGGCATCTAGTGTATGACAACAAATGGGACAAATTATTTCGAACACTGATGAGAAGTGGGATTGTTTTAAGAATACATTACATAACGCTATTACCAAGTGCATACCACTTGGTAACAAAAATAAAAGATCGAGAGCCAAGCCTGCATGGCTAAAGAAAACGGTACAAACAACACATCAAAGACAAAAAGCTGGAAGTTAAGAAATATAAGACAGAGGGGACTGCACTGGCATTCCTGAACTACAAGGAATGCAATAAGAGATGTAAACATGAAATCCGGGTAGCTAAAACAGATTATGAAAAGCATATCGCCACAGTCTGTAAGAAGAACCCAAAAAAATTATTCCAATATATAAAAAGGAAAAAAGTTAAGAAAAGACCAGGTAGGCCCAATAAAAGATGAGAACGGGAGATTAATCACAAATGATAGGGAGAAGGCTGAGATATTGAATTCAGTTTTCTCCTCAGTATACACTCTAGAAAAAGACGGGTTTAATGGAGAAAAGAATGTGAGTAGCTTAGTGTGCAAGATACCGCAGTGGTTGGCGGTAGACGGGGTTCAACACAGACTAGAAAAACGTAACGCAAATAAATCAATAGGACGGGAAAACCCGCACCCCAGTGTACTTAAAGAACTCAGCCAGGTTATAATGAGACCGTTATTCCTAATTTTCAAGGACTCCTTAATGTCTGGAAGGGTACCAAGTGATTGGCGTACGGCAACGGTATTAGCGATATTCAAAAAAGGCTCAAGATGCCAACCTGGAAACTACAGACCAGTCAGTCTAACATCAATAGTATGCAAACTTTTTGAGGGAATGATAAAGGACTATTTAGTAGATTTTGTTTTTGACAAAAGGTATAATAAGTGATAATCAGCATGGATTTATGAAGGACCATTCTTGTCAGACCAACCTACTGACATTCTACGAAGAGGTGAGTAGATATCTGGATGGGGAAAACCAGTGAATGTGGTGTACCTGGATTTTGCAAAAGCATTTGGCACAGTGCCACATAAACGCTTAATACACAAGCTGAAATCTATGGGCATAGATGAAATGAAAAGTGCTCATTTTCACAGTAATGAGTGGTGTGCCCCAGGGTTCTGTGCTAGGCCCAATATTGTCTAACCTGTTTATTAATTATATTAGGGAGGGATTCATAGCCATGTTTCTGTGTTTGCAGATGATACTAAAATTGGGGAGGGTAATAGTCACTGACAGTATAACATTACAGGGGGACCTGAACAAAATAGGGTGTGGACGACTATGTGGCAGATGAGGTTTAAACGTTGAAAAATGTACAGTAATACATTTTGGGGTTAAAAACAGGCAAGCTGAATACACATTAATGGGAACTCCACTAGGGAAGCCAGAAATGGAAAAAGATTTGGGGGTCATAGTCGACCACAGATTGAATAATAGCTTGTAATGCCAGGCTGCGGTCAACAAAGCTAGTAGAGTACTGTCATATATTAAAAAGGGAATGTACTAGAGACAAAGCGATAATCTTGCCACTTTATAGATCACTGGTTCGGCCTCATCTTGAGTATACGGTTCCGTTTTGGTCACCAATCCACAGAGTCCAGAGAAGGGCAACTAAACTAATTAAGGGGCTGGAGGATCAAAGCTATGAGACAAGGTTGCTAAATTTAAACTTGTTCAAGCTGGAAGTGAGGCGATTAAGAGGGGACATGATTTTAATGTACAAGGTGGTGATGGCAACATCAGCACTAAACGTTTTACTGTAAACTCCCTAACAAGGACTAGAGGCCACCACCTAAAATTGGTGGAGAAAAGATTTAACCACAAAGGGCGTAGGGGCTTCTTCTCTGTCACAAGCAGTGGTATCTACAGACAGTATTGAATCATTCAAAATCATTTAGATACCTTCCTCAGAGATCGTAACATATAGGGGTATAGGTACTCTTAAAACCTAAGACGGCACAGGGACTCATGTATACAGACACGCACACAAAGGTTGAACTCGATGGACCTATGTCTTTATTCAACTTCAAATACTATGCAACTATATTCCAAGAAGCCAACATCAGTTTTATGTTACCTGGTATTTGGAAACCAGTCTCATGAAAGGCCAGCTGTCATCGTTTCTCACCAAATCTACCACCAACTGTTCACAAGCGGATAACTCATGTACACCTTGATGTCGACCAGAGCTCCTCCTGTTTCCTTGATCACCTGAAGAGATTTCTGGAGACAAGCACAGATATAGCCTTGTTTTATGTTACCTGGTATTTGGAAACCAGTCTCATGAAAGGCCAGCTGTCATCGTTTCTCACCAAATCTACCACCAACTGTTCACAAGCGGATAACTCATGTACACCTTGATGTCGACCAGAGCTCCTCCTGTTTCCTTGATCACCTGAAGAGATTTCTGGAGACAAAAACAGATATAGTCTTAAAAAAAAAAAAGTAGTAGAGGTGCACCGAAACGAAACCGAAATAAAAAAAATAAAAATGTCAGGCTGAAACAAACTTTAACTTTCACATTTTCTAAATATTTTTTATAAAAACTTAATTTTTCTTTATTCATTTATCAAATATTTTTATTTTTTACTTTACTTTTACAGAGTCCTCTATCTATTTTTCTGCTTCCCCTTTTATAAATGAACAAGAATCCTCTATACTGAGTGTTCCTGTTCATTCATAACATGAGGACAGACTATGTTTACTATATCCATAACCATAATCATGAATGAACAGGAGGTGATGTAGATCACTTCCCATTCATTCATAATTGAGGATATAGTTAACATACCATGTCTTAAATTATGTACAAACACTCAGCGATCAATGAGTGTTTGTACCGCTCTCCTTCCTGACTCGCTGTCACAGGAGGCTGAGCGAGTGGAGCTCAGCCTGCTGTGGCAGAGTGGGCTGTCTCCACCCACACACCGCTCTGCGACGGGAGGCGAGACGCTGGCCGCATCCCTAAAAAATAAAAGCTGCAATGAAGGTATTTCCTAGAGCATCTCATTCCATTTACCAGTGGCTTAGACGAGGTATTAACTTGTGTTGCATTGAAATCCCACACCATCCACCTAAGGACTTACAAGTATTATACAATAAACCTCTCCAACAATCACATTTAAGAGATTATATGCTGAAATTATATGCAGGCTGAAACTGGGGGAGGGGGGAAAGGGACAGAAGGTGGTGTTGCTTATAATGTAGGACCAATCAGATATAGGGCCTGTTCACACTTGCCCATCTGCTGAAAACACTGCTGCCGTGCAGCAACTGGCGGCATGCGGTGCGCTGTGATAAAATCCAGCATGTTTGCATTTTATCACAGCGCACTCCCCACTACATTGCAGTGTGCATGGAACACACAGAAAACTATTGTGGTGACCTGTGTTGATCCAGTGCACTGCATGTGTAAATGGGCCCTTAATCTTTTATTAAACTAGTCATCTTATTGGTCACAAAGGACAACAATTATCATTTGTTCCTAGTTTTTCTTCAATATTCGAAAAAAACAGCCTCCCTAATCTGAGTGTTCCAAATAGGCAATGGCTGTTTATAGCTCCAGCATTACATATATGTATGCTACAGTGTTGTCCAAGAGACTGCTCCCTTTTTAGTGTCACTGAAAAAGTCAAACTTTCTTGCTGGGTGTATTGACAGAGAATGGAGGCTGCCAATGCTGGCCTCTCCAAAAAATGCTGGATTTCTGTCGTACAGCTCCAAAGGCTTTAAAAAGGAGCGTCCTCCCGTTACCCCAAGCTCAGTATACCGCGAGCTACAGTGCCATGCCTCCACTGCTCCCCTGTGCCCCCCTAGAAAGCCGGTGTTCCGGCGTGGAGTCTCCCCTCCTATCCAGCGACTGGAAACAATAGCAAGCCTGCTTTTGGTTATTTTAAAAATTGCAATAGCCAATAGCAGGCTGGCTATTGCACCGGCCCACTGCCTGCTGTCAATCAGCAGAGGAGGACCTGATGGAGAACTTTCTCCTTCAGTTCCCTCCTCAGTTGATTGTCAGTAGGCAGGTACAATAGTCAGCCTGCAATTGTACTTTAAACAGACTGGCTATTGCTTCAAGCCACTGCATGCTGTGTTGACATTCAGCTGCCTTGGCAGCTGAATCCACTGAAGTGGAAAGGTGAACCCCCCCCCCCCCCCACAAACATTTGGATAACACCCAAAGAGGGAAAGGTAACACCCCCCCCCCCCCCAAAAAAAAATTTGAAAGTCCCAACCCTACAAACGCACTTTTGCTAACACAAGTCAGGTATACCAACATAGAACGACAATTGCGCTACACATCAGGGATTGCCGCAAATGTTATTTTAAATTAACGATTTTTAAAAAAATCCCATTAATCGAAGTTAATAAATCGGCTAATCGATCGTGAAAATAATCGTTAGCTGCAGCCCTAAATTTGAGTCACTGACCTAGAACAAATGCGCAAAAAAAGAAAAAAACAAAACACTTATGATTTCCTCATTAACTGCATAACTGTCTCAGGTAAGTGACTAGAAGTACGGAATCCATTGGATCACCATGACAGCCAGACAGCTAACATTTTTAGTGGAAATTTAGCAACAGAAAACAGCAAATCAACATTCGGGAGCTTAATTGAATGCTTTATTAAGTGCAATGCAAATACATCCAGGGGCCAAGAACACTTCCGCACAACAATGTGTTTACTCATGCTGAGTATTCCCTTGGATACTGTGGCTGCATTAGCCTTGCGTTTACCTAAAGTAATATCTGCGAGTGTGAATCAATGCTTTCCGTCAGTGCCTAACATTCTCTCCGATTAGAGAAACTACTTAAAATCCTTTTCTCTCCGTTCATTGAAGAACACAGGGCAACAGATCGTAGATCCTGAATGGTAGGGTATATCGCCACCTGCAGGAGTAGGACTCTAGGCACATAGCAAAAGACAAGACAGCCTAGGGGTGGCCCAACCCCCCACTTGCTGACAAGTCTCCAGTAAGTAACAAACAGTTAGGAGCAGTTAGGAGAGGTGACGTTCTCGGCCGCGATTCGGCGTCGGAAGTCGAGGCAACAGATACAGCGGAGGAAAGGCACAAATCAGACCATAATGACCCCATGGAGCCACCAGGGCATCTACCGCCTCCGCCCAAGGATTCCGGGCCCGGGCCACAAACCGGACCACCTTCCGGTTGAACCGAGACGCCAGAAGATCCACCTCCGGCGTCCCCCAGCGAAGACAGAGCTGCTGAAAAACTTCTGGGTGCAGTGACCTCTCCCGGTCACTGCACAATTGGCCAACCCCCGGGATGTAGACCGCAACCCCGGGATGTAGACCGCCGAGAGCCAGAACCTGATTCTCCGCCCAGGAGAGAATCCCGAACACCTCTCAACCTGCGGCCACGCTTTTAGTGTCGCCCTGGTGGTTGATGTACGCCACAGCGGTGACGTTGTCCGACTGGATCCGAACCGCCAGATCCTGAAGCCGTGTCGACCAATGAAGGAGAGAAAGGCGAATCGCCGAAGTTCCAACACGTTTAATCAACAGATGGGACTCCTCCAGCGACCCTGCACAGTCCACCCCCAAAGGCCGGGACTCCTCCAGCGACCCCAGGACTCCACCCCCAAAGGCCGGCATCCGTGGTGACTACTGTCCAGTGCTCAGGAAGGAAGGACTTCCCCCGCACCAAGGCCGGAGAATGAAGCCACCTCCGCAAGGAGGCTCTCGCCTCTCGAGACACCCGAATGTCCCTGTCCAAGGATAGGGGGGACTTGTCCCACTGTACCGGGATGTTCCTCTGCAGGGTCCTGGAGTGGTGCTGCACAAAGGACACCGCCTCGAAGGAGGCCACCATGAGACCCAGGTCCTGCATGCAAAAGCGAATGGGCGACCACCGGCCAGTCCGCAGCAGCCGTACTTTGGAACGAAGTTTCAGGAGCTTGTCCCGAGGGAGAAAAACCCGGGTTGCGACAGGGTCCAGAACTAGGCCCAGATATTCCAGGTGTGGAGAAGGCACTAGGCAAGACCTCCAGGAGGTTCAGGAGCCAACCAAACTCCTCCAAAAGACCGTACCGTGACCTCCAGAGCCGTCACCAGAGGAGTGCGACTCCGCCCGCAGAAGCAGATCGTCTAGGTAGCCGAAACCCCCCGACAACGCAACAGCGCCAGAATCAGGGCAAGCACCTTGGTGAACACCCGCGGAGCAGGCGCCAGCCCGTAAGGCAGCGCTTCAAATTGAACATGCACCTCCCCTACTGCGAAACGAAGATATTGCTGATGAGACTCACAAACCGGTACATGAAGGTAGGCATCCCTGATGTCGATGGATGCCAGCACATCTCCCCGACGAAGCCAGGCCACCACGAACCTGACTCGACTCCATCCGGAACCGACGGACCCGCACAAAAGTGTTCAAGCGTTTGAGGTCAAGGATGGGCCGAACCCCCTCTTCCTTGGGCACTGTAAACGGGTTAGAATAAAACCCTTTGAACCTTTCCGAGGACGGAACCGGCATGATCACCCCCTGGGACAAAAAGGTCCGCCAGAGCGTGACGGAGAGAGTCGCGTGTTGGACGGGAAGAACCGGTTCCCAGGACGGGACAGAAATTCAATCTCGTAGTCAGAAGAAACCAGTTCCCGGACCCAAGTGTCGGAGACGTGGGCCAATTAAAAATCCGCAAAGAGCCAAAAGCGCGCCCCCACACTGGGAACCAGAGGCGGGGGCGTGACCTCCATGCGGATTGGGGCTTGCCAGACTTAGGATTGTGAAGGGGAGGGCTTGTGAAACTTTCCGCCCGTGTCGAGGGGGCCAAAAAAGCCACCTGTGAGCGGAGAAAGTGGGCCCAGGCTTCCGGCACTGCTCCTTCTTGCTCGCCTGGGGAAGAAAGCTACTCTTAACACCCGTCAGATCTTAATGATCTCATCCAAGGAGGATCCAAACAGACTGTCCCCAGTAAAGAGCAATTCCATCATAGCTTTCTTGGAAGCCTGATCACGCCTACTCTTATGCGTTCCAAACTGCACTGGCGGCAGTGCGGAAGAGCCAGGAGTATCCTCAAATGGAAGTCTCCCTGACAGCGCGGACTAGCGCCAAAACCATTTCACGTTCCTGAACCAGGAGCGAAGATGCCGCCTCATCCTCACTGGCCGGATCTGCCCGTGAGGAATCACTAGGATCAGGACGAGACGACGTGGAAGTTTCCCCTCGGACTCCCCCGAAAGGGCAGGAGACGGCAATGGCAAAGCCCACTTTCTAGGGGGGCCCCTGCGTCAAAACACGCTCAATGCGCGGCCCAAAACCATCCATGGCAGAGGAAAAGACCCCCAGGGACAGCACAGTACCCACAGGACTGAGCACCTCCACATAGGACCCCAAGGGAGCAACGGCAACTGGGGAAGGGACGCAGGCGTGCAAAACGCCCATAGCAGGGAAAGGCAAGCAGCCTCTAATGGAAGCCCGCAGCCCCCACAAGGCACCTCAGACGGCTTGTCCCTGTGGTCCCTGGGCACCACCCACAGACTCCAACCGCCCAAAACTGAGACCCCCGCAGGTAGAAGGAGACCCAGCAACTCACGGCCCCTGGCACAGAAGATCGGAAGATCCAGCAAAAATGGCCTCCAGCCCGTGGACCCCGACAGCCTGGATCAGTAGCAGACCTGTGTCCACTTGGAAATCGCCTCCACGGTGAAAAAGTACCGCCCCATTCACCCGCGGACCGGAAGTGAGGTCACACAAGAAGGGCAAGCTGCCCTCGTCCAAGATGGCGGCCGTGGCATCCGGAGTAGGCCGCAATAGGAGCCGAATCTCGATTTTTGGCCGCCCGCGCACAAGGGGCCGAAAACAGAAACGAACATGCGGCCGCGGTACCGCGACCTCCCGCGCCGCTCACAGGGTGCGCAGGGATGGCGGAGAAAAAACACACCGCAGCCGCGGCGCCGCCAGCCTGTGTGGAGTGCTGTGACTGGAAGGCCGAGACCCCCAGTCATATGCACCCCACAGGGACAAACCCACAGGCCACTCCGTTAAAAAAAAACAGCCGACCCACCGTGGCAGAGTCTGCATTTGCTCGCCGGTCGTCCAGGGAAGACTGCAAGGATCCACAAACATCCAGCCCGTCTCTCTGCCGACACTTGCTAGAAGATCCAGTGAAAAAACAGGAGAAATCCCGACAAGAATTCAAGAGAAAAAAGTCGAAGCTCCTTACTCCTGACGCTAGGCAAAAAACTGGAGACTTGTCAGCAAGTGGAGGGTTGGGCCACCAGCAGGGGCCGCCCCTAGGCTGTCTTGTCTTTTGTTATGTGCCTAACGTCCTACTCCTGCAGGTTGCGATATACCCTACCATTCAGGATCTACGATCTGTTGCCCTGTTCACTTCAATGAACGGGAGAGAAAAAAAAAAAAAACTGCCACTGCTGACCTGCTCCTGTGAAAGCTAATTGCTGGGTAGTCATGGCTTACTGCTGTTAATACTTTGTGATCACTGACCAAAAGGAAACGTAATTGCTTTCTGGACAGTCCAGTGCTTTTCCCTGCTGATCCATCCACTGCCACCTGGACGATTAAAACGAAAGGCAGAGTCTACTTTGCGAATAAAGGAAGTCCGGAATTCAACAGCACCTTGTCCTTATGCAAGATCAAAAAGGGTTCTTCGCAAGATAAAGCTGCCAGCTCAGACAGACACTCACCTAGCCATGGTAATGATCACAAGAAATACAATCTTGAAGGTGAGAGTAGAGAGAGGAATGTCTCTATTAGGCTCAAACCGGCTTCTGAAGAGATGAGAGAACCAGATTCAAGTTACCCAGTTGAAGAGGATTGGATCCACAGGGAAACCCCCTGCACAAAAGAACAAAACAGAATGGAAAGAGCATAGATTTGTTCCTTGATGGTGCTAAGAGCCAATTGCTGGTCCAGACCCTACTGGGGGGAAAGAGTGAATCCGTCCTCTGGAGAAACGCTCTCCACATCCAATCTGACTTTGCAGGAAGTGGACTTCCTGGAATTAAGCATGTAGGAATTAAAATGCTCACAGATACCCCTGTTCCTTAGAATGTGGGCTTTAAAGGCCATGTTAAAGCCAGAGACCAAGAAGTAGGATGGCAAATCTTTCTTTGGGACAGCAGATCCAGATATGCCATGGACTCAGCCAGACTGAGAAGTCTTAACAGGCTGGCATGCCACACCAACCTGGGCCAATCCGGAACAATGTGCATCACGGAAATGCCCTTCATCTTGATCCTGTGGAGCGGGCAAAATTAAGTTTCAGAGGAGGAAAGGTGTACTAATCCCACTAAAACATCTATTGCTTTCGCCAGCAGATCCCTAGACCTGGAGACTAACATGTCTAAATTGTTGTTGAATCAAAAAGGTGCATATCTGTTATCCCCCACTTGTGACTCCAGGTTCAGGGACCACTGTCCCGGGTCCAGATGCTCCAGCTGAGGAAATCTGCCTGCCAATTGTCTATGGAAGGCATGAACATGGTTGACAGAGCTGACACAAAATTCAGGCCAGGACAGGATTCACTCTACCTCTCCTGTCACAGAAACACCTTTGTTCCTCCCTGATGATTAATGTACAACACTGCAGTAATGTTGTTCGTTGGATCTAAAAATCGGAGGGCACTCTAACAGGTTGGTTTAATGCTGAAGGGACAGCCAGATCACCTAAACCTGCACCGACAAGGTGCCCAGGACAATCCCCGTTTGCAGTCTTAGGGATCCTATACGAGGCTATAGTTTCCATAGAGCTCCAGTGCTAGAGACAGCACGCTTGTCATCTAACTTCAGAGTGGTGCGGACTGCATGAAGAACTAAAAATATCTTAACTTAGGAGTAATAGCAATGGTTTGTGACTCGTCATAAGCTCTGGACATGAGCGACTCAGACTCTGCAGCTGATGGCTCAGAAGCCACTAGGGCAGCAGGTAAAATCAGATATAAAAACTTCTGAGGAGGGCACATTAGAGCATGCGCAGCCTCTGCTATCAGTCAGAAAACAACTGGGTAATTAGGTCCTGCATGACTTCAGTAAAAACCTCAGCCAATAGGGCAAAGGAAAAAGCCACAACCAATGGAGCGGTGATGAGGGAAAAGACTTCAAAGTCAGAGAGAAGCATGATTCCAGGCTACAGATTTCACCATTATCAGGGGGCATGCTGCAAGCAGGCCTCGACCCATTAATGGAGAGTGTGCCCCCCAGCATAACAGGGGAGCACCCCGACCCCCTTAGACTTCATGTGCCCCTCAATGAAAGAGAAAGCATTTTTATTTTTTTAAACAAGATCATTCTTCCTCTGCTTCAGGGGTAATTTCGGGGTTATTTGTACCAACCTGGCATTTTTATGTCATATGTTTTATAACAGAAAGTTCTCTTCAAAGTTTTAGATCTTTTTGCCTAAAGTAAAAAATAAACCCAGTGGTTATTAAATACCACCAAAAGAAAGCTTTGCCAAAAAGTATTAAATCAATTTGGGCACAGTGTTGACGGAGTAATTGCCAAACTATCACAGCACTGAAAAATGGGCTGGTAATTAAGGTGTCAATACAGGTCAGTGTACAAGTGGTGATCTGCCTGAGCTCTACTTTAAGAACATTGAAATATAAACGTCTGTGCCCATTTCTTAACACCTTTAGGCAACTTGTGATACTGAAAGATAAATGCAGTAGGATATTACCACGACTCACCTGATAACCGTTTCTTGCCCCTTCCTCTGCCTTTCCGAGTAGGTGTAAAGTTCTCAGACTGTTCATTTCTCCCTTTGAGTGCCTGCTCAGCGTTTTCCAAACTAAATGGACGGAAAGCAAAAGGGGTGCCTACTGGGGTGTTATCAACAGATTTAATCTTCTTTCCTCTCCCTCTACCCCGGCCACGGCCTGGTGCTGATACCAACTCCAGCAGAGATGTCTCGTGGCCCTCAGAATGGAGCTGTGAAGTGTGCATGGAATGACGAGCTCCTACTTTCTTCTCCTGTGGAGGGGCAGAATGGGCTTTCTTTCCTCTGCCCCTTCCAGCAGGTGGAGTAGTTTTTGGAGTACCTTGCTGACTTTTCGGTGACTTCCCATACTTTTTCTTAGGTCCAGGCTTTCCAGCAGATTTGCCTCCTTTTATCTTTAAAGGTAATCGTACTTTGGCTTTGCTTTTCTTTTTTGTACTAAAACAACAAAAGGTTAAACGTGTATACAAAGAAGGTAATGCAAATTGAGAGAAAAAAAAACTTGAACTTCAAGCAAAATTCCACTTCTACCTAAACTGCTACACAAGCAAATCTGCAATCTAGTGTAATTAAAAGTGCCTATCTGAATCAGCAGCCAACTAATATTCTTAACTATTGGAAGAGATTTCACAGGGTTTTTTTTAACCCCTTTGTGACCAGTGACGTACATAGTACATCACTGGCAGCAGGCCCGTTTAAACAGACACCCGGCAGCTTTAGCCGCTAGGACTCCGTTTACATTTGTAGAGCCGGCTGTCGGCTTTACAATTGAAATGATTCTGGTGGCTCAGCTGCTGTCAGATCACTTCTACGGGCCGGTAAACGACCCCCCCC